CCCCGCCCCCGCCCGCGCGGGGTGGTGCCGCCGCAGGAGCTCAGGCCCGCCGAGCACCTCTGACGGCTCCGGGTCCCGCACGGGGCGCATGCGCCGCGGGTTTCCGTGCCGCTTTGAGGGCGGTGGCGGGAGCAGGGCCCGCGTGCGCCGGGACGGACGCGGTTTCTCTTTCGGACGTCTGGACTGCGGGCGCGGAGGCCGGCTTTGCCCTGCTGTCCTGCCCGCCCTGCGGGCAGCGTGCGCCCCGCTCTGCCCAGACCCTGCGCGGTGCTGTAAACGCAGCAGGACTCCGACCTCTCCCCGTGACTCGCGGGACGCTCCGCAGCGTGAGCCGGTAGCTCTCAGAGCGGCGTCCCCTTAGGGTTGGCCTCCCGGAGCGGCGCTGCGCCAGGGCCGAGGAGCGGGGCGGGTCTGGGGACGCGGCCGGGGACGCCGCCCCGCACTGCTGCCCGGAGCGGTCCGAGGCGCCTGTGACACCGCCGCGGCGGCTGTCGCCTCTTCCTCTGCCTCCTCGTCTTGGCGCTGCCCGCTCCTCGGCTCCAAACGGCCTCTCCCCCTTTTCCGTCAGTGTCTCATTTGTGCCTTGGCTCGGGGACCCAGTGCCCTATTTGTGAAGCGGGGAGACTTGGCGGTGACCTTCCGTCTGTTCCCAGAGATGCCAGCCCACGGCACACCGGGCAGACACGCGTTTCCACCCTGCAGCATGCCCATGCCTCTGCCCGCTCCCGGGCGGTGCAGCTCCCGAGTCACGGGGCAGAAGTTCGCGCCGCGCAGAGCACAGGTCTCCTTCCCCGCTGCTGCTGCTGCTGCTGTGGGCCGACAAGGCCCGGGGCAGAGCTCCTTCGTGCCAGCATGTCCTTGCTGTGGACCAAGCTAATCTCACTGACAAAACACATGCCCGGGACTTACAGTCTGTGGTCACCGTAAAGGCTGGGAATAACCAAGAGGACAAGCTGGACACGGTGGTGCACCCCCGTAATCCCAGCACTCTGGGAGGCTGAGGCAGGAGGACTGAAGATTTGAGCCCACCCTGGGCAGCCCAGTGAGACCCTGTATCAAAAAAATAATATATTAAAAGCAGCGGGGTCTGCAGCTCAGTGCAAGGCTCTGGGTTCGAATTCTGAGGGTGGGATGGGACAAGGAGCTCCTTGGACGGATGAACAGCACCACACAGCAGGAGGACAAGCCTGAGCAGGCAGCAGCTCGGGGCTCAGGCAGCCCCGGGTCACAGCAGCGGCAGAACAGCAAAGCCAGAGTCGGGAGCCCCTGGGGCGAGGGTGGAGGCTGGCTGTGACTTCGCGGCTGGTCCCGGTCGACGCCCTTCGCTGGTTGTAGGGGACAGGACGGTGGGCAGAGCCTGCCAAAGCGAACGCATCGCCTCTCTGTGGCGTTTGCTTTTAGCCTATCAAATACTGGAAGTTCCTTTTATGGTAAAATATAAAGTTCACTATTCTAACCTTTTCTTTCTCAGTCCCTTGTCTGCAGGACAGAATGATTCCATTCCTCTTGAGGAGCTGGTGCACAGACAGAACACCTTCACTCCTTTTACCCCGCCCCCACCTCTAGACCCTCCTCGCATCTGAACAAGCGCTATCTCATTTCCTATCATCCGTCCTTTATCTTGCCTTTAAGTTATTTATACTTTGCGTTTCTTTTTCTTTTTTTTTTGAGACAAGGTCTTGCTATATAGCCCAGGCTGGCCTCGAACTCACAGCAATCCTCCTGTCTCAGCCTCCTGAGTGCTGAGGTTGCAGGTGCGCGCCACTACTCCTGGCTATACTTCCGGTTTTTTATGCAAGAGAAACCACGTAGCTGTATCCCCAACCCCTTTTTCCTTTATTCACAGACAAAGTCTACAGACAGTGAGACGCACAGTCTAAACGCATGGGGCTGAGTGAGTCCACACCCCAGCTCCGCGTCACTGGCCCAGCTGCTGCTCTCTTCCCTCCTTCCCGCTTCCGCAGCCAGAGCGCCTGCTCTGCGCTGACTCCCCGCCCCTGGGCTCAGCCTTGAGGTGGGAAGGTCTGGGCAGGGCCCACGTGCCCCAAACATCCTTAACGGGTGAATGATAATTTAGCACAGTGGGTCCTGAAACACCCAAGGGGAACCAGCCTGGGACGCTGCGATTTTGCTTCTGGGAGCTCAGATGCAAGGCTGTGGCGCTAGTGGGGTGAGCAGACACCTGCAGACCAGCTCATCACGGCGGGAAGGACGGGTAACCCAAGCACCCCGCCCATGAGCCTGTGAGAGGCCGTGACACCGCTGCGCAGGAGCCTTGCGGGGGGGAGGGGAAGCTGTCCTTTGGGCGGCTCTGGCGGACGTGGACAGTGTTAGGGAAAACACACCAGCAATAGCGCCTAGTGTGTTGCGGGGGACGGAGCCCGGGCCTTCCCACTGACGCTGCAACCCCCACCTTTTATCTTCTGTTTTGAGATAGGGTCTTGCTAACTTGCCTGGGCTGAGCTTGAACTTGCCCTCCTCCTGCCTCAGCCTCCCCACTGCTGGGACGAGAGGCGTGCATCACCATGCCTGGTTCCTACTCTGTTGAAACAAAATCCATTATACTGTGTAGCAAAAGGAAAAGGACAAAACTATGCGATTGCTTTCTGGGTCACTGCGTTCCAAATGCCTTCCTACTTCCTGGAGAAGTGCTCCTCAGTCAGGACCCGAGAAGGCCCTAAGTGGCCGTGAGGTGAGGTCCCTGCCCAGTGCTGGGGCTGCACCCAGTCAGGTGAGCAGCAGGGCCCCTCCCTCTCCACAGGGGACACCGGCGTCTGCTGAGGGTGGACTTTATCAGCTTCAGGATTCGGAAACTTGCCAGCATGGTGACTCACGCCTGTAATCCCAGCACTTGGGACGCTGAGGCAGGAGGATCATTTCGAGTTCCAGGGCTCGAAAGCTTGGGCTACAAAGTGAGCTCAAGGCCAGCCTGAATTCGGGAACTTATATAAAGAATTAATGTTTAGAAGGAGTAACAAAGTCACTTTATTGGAAGGAAGAGAGAAGAGAGAGGCAGGTGGCTAGCTGCCGGGAGTCAGAGTGGAGCCAGCGGAGGATCTGGTTCTTAGCCCCTCCCTTATATGGCGGGGCGGGGCGGGGGCCCCTGAGAGTTGCTGTTGGCTATTTTAGGCTCAGGGCCCCTGACTCAGCAGCAAACCCGCTGCACCGGCTCCCTGCCGGACCCTCGGGTGAGCGCTGCGGCCGAGCCTCACCTTCAGGGCCGGGTCAGCAAGTAGTGGAGAGACGCACTGCGTTCCCCTGCGGGCACAGGGTGGGGAGCACGTGTGTGTGCACGCATGTGTGTGCTCGCGCGTGTGAGGGGTGTGCCGGAGGCGCGTGAGTGTGCGTTTGACGTGTGGAGTGGGATCTTCCATGGCAGCCCTCGCCCCCCGTGGGGCGGCCCCTGCACGTGACCGGTGCTGCCGAGGGGAGAGGGGCGCCGCTGCTCCTCGGTTCCCCACTTCTCTCAGCTGCACTGCCTGCTGGGGTTCAGCTCTTTCCAGTCAGGACCTGCCAGAAACCCCACGAAGTCCTCACCCCTCCCCGTCCGTCCCCCAGCTTCCCCTGCAGACGCCCCGTCCTCCAGCCGCAGCTTCCCAGAGCCGCGTGGCTCAGCACGCGGTGCCCCGCGGAACAGGGATCCCGGGGGTCGCGCCTCGCGCCCTCCCAGGCCCGCAGGGCCCGCAGGACAGGCCCAGGGCTCCGACCTCACGGGGAGCAGCTGCCAGAGGAGCAGGCTCGGCCACCAGCTCTGCAGGTCCCAGTCTGGACGATCTTCAGGCGGCCCTGGTCTGCGGCCGGGCCCCTCAGCCGGGCCAGCGCGTCCAGCGCCCCGCGGGCCTTCTTCTCCCTGGAGGACACGAAGCAGGGCGGCCCTCACCCGCGTCCCGTCGCCTGGAGCAGCACACACAGCAGGAAGCACCTCAGGGGCACGGAGACCCCAGGGGCCTGCTTCTGCGCACTGTGTGTCTCTCTGCGCCTCTGCCCTCTGTGTGACCTGGTCCCGGCTGCGGAGGAAGCTGCAGAGCCCTGACTGCTCCCGGAGGGGCTGAGGCCTGGACGCGGGCTCCAGAGTCCCAGTCAGCCGCTGTCCACAGTGAGCACCCACGAGCAGGAGCCGCCCCGGCCCTGAGCCCGGAACTCCAGGAGGAGTGACCACCCCAGGTGTCACGGCAGCCCCGGCCCGGCCGACCACGCCCAGGAGGAGGGAAGGAGGAGACGGGGACGCCAGGTCCTCCCCTCACTGGACCAGCGCAGAGTGTCCACCCGCACAGCCACGGGGAAGGACTCACAGGACGAGCGCTCACGGGTGGCTGCCCACCAGGGTCAGCTGGCCCTGCTCGCCCACGTTGTTCCCGCTCACGTCCAGGTACTGCAGCTCCTGGTGGGCTCAGACACCACAGCCCGGCAGCCCTCGGAGTGAGGAGGCAGCGCTCCAGCCTGCGGAGAGGGCAGGGGTCAGTGCCATACCCGTCCCCGGCCTGCCCTCCCCGCCCCCAGGTGTGCGTGCGCCCCAGGCCCCACCTGCGCGCCTTCCGCCCATGGAGGGAGCCGCCCGGAGCCCCAGGCTCCTATCTGACCAGGAGGAACCTCAGGCAACAGCCCCCCAGGGAGGAGACAGGGACCCGCTCGCTCCAGGGTCTGCAGGCGCAGCGGGCATGCCGGGGCCTCACACAGGAGGCTGACCCCATCGTCGCCAGGCTGTTGAGACCAAGGTCCAGGCTCCGGAGGGCTCTGCTGCTCCTGAGGCAGCAGGCTGAGTTCAGAGCGCACTGTCTCAGCCTGCAGGGAAGCCTGGGTCAGGGGTTCCACCCACTGCTGCCCCATGTGCGTAAAATCACTCATCACAATGCAGTGGACAGCCGTGCGGCCCACCGTCTGCCGCGCCACGTGGCTCAGAGCCCAGGGCCTCGTCCTGCCGAGCTCGGCCGCTTGCTGCACTGCCCGCCCCAAAGCCTGCTCTGGTGGGGCTGCACCGTCAGCACGACCGCCTGTAGGCGTAGACGGCAGTCAGTCCCTCTCCTGCTCTTCCCACAGCTCCCGCTTGCTTCCTCTGTGGCTCCCTCCTCCTGCGATCAGGCTGTGAAGGGAATCACGCAACGCGTGGCTGCTGGTGTGCAGCATCTTCCGCTCAGGCCATTCTCCAGGCCCCTCCATGCCTCAGCCTGAGCCAGCACGCCGCTCTTCTTTACGGCTGCGTAGTATTCCACACAGCTCTAGGCACGCATCCTCTCTTCCTTCGTCCGTCCTCAGAAACGTGTCTTCACCTCCTTGCTCTTCTGAGGGGTGCTGTGAACCCGGGTGCAGGTTTTCGTGTGGACGCAGGGCCTTGTTTGCTTGTGTGTGCGCCTAGCAGGGTGCTGTGCCTGCAGTCACCTCTGGAGTGTTTTCTGAAGCGCTGGCACCCATCCCTGCTGCTCCCGAGGAAGCTCAAGGTGCCAGTGGTCCCTGAGGAATTCTGGGCCACTTGGAGCATTTCAGGAGCACTTGCGGAAATTCCCCATGTGACAGGCACCCCCAGGCGCAGCCTCTGCCCTTGGTGGGCACAACCTAATGTGAGCCAAACACGGAGGCGAAGAGGCCAGGTGTGTCTGTGGCAGCGGGGGCATCGAGGTCTGCCTGCCCCTTTCCACCGGGCACCTGCAGGCTCCCTGCCCAGCTCTGGGCACAGAAGGAAGAGGAACATCAGGGCGACCCAGGGTGGAGGGGACCCAGGAGGAGGTGCCGTTTCAGAGATGTGGGCATCGTTCGCAGGGCTGGCAGCACCTCCGCCTCCACGGGGTCTGGTTCCCCGCTTGTGCTGGATGACCGGGGTTATGAGACGCCCTCTCTGTTTCCCAGCAGGCGTGTGCCCAGACCTGGAGACTCCAGGAGGCTTTCCCCCTGGAAGACACATCATCATTGGTCTTTTTTTTTTTTTTTTTTTTTTTCTGGTACGGGGAATTGAACTCACAATGTTGCGCTTGCCAGGCAGGCGCTGTGCCGCTGAGCTAAATCCCCAGCCCCTCGTCATTGGTCTTAAACCTGCCATCCTCCTGCCTCAGCCTCCCAGAGTGCTGGGGTTACAGGTGTCACTACCGTGCCTGAGCCCCTAGTAATTTTGTGGTAGGCTTCCGCTTGGGACAGCCGCTTAGCCTTCCGAGGACCTCCCTGGGGAGGAAGGCAGCGAGACCGGACGCCGACTCAGAGCCGCCTGCAGCACGTGGTCTGTGATGCGCGGATGTCCACGCATCTGCACAGCCCCACTGACTCCGGGCGCCTCGGGCCGTGGCCTGAGAGCCTCGCCGCCGGCTGACCTGCCTCTGCAGTGGAAATGACAACGCCCTTCTCCCAGGCTGCTGTCCGCAGGCGCGAGCCCAGGCCCCCAGATGCCAGCAGCACATCACCTGTGGGCTGCAGACTCGCTCATGTGGCAGGTTTGCCAGCCGTGCTGCTGCACAGGGAAGGCGCGCGGGGACCCACACCAGCCTCCGCAGGGGGCTCGCCGAGCTCGCCAGCGTTTCCCAGATGTGCCTCACCCCTGCGTCCTCCAGGGCGTTGCCCGCCAGGCTCAGGTGGGTCAGCTGCACGCTGCTCCCCAGACACAAGGCGAGGTGGCGGTAGCCCTGCTGCGTGAGCCCGCAGCTCTCCAGCCTGGGGACGGAGACGCGGATGAGCTGAGAACGGCCCGTGTGAGTGGGCGGAACAAGCTGGGCGTGGCGATGTGCGCTGCAACCCACACTTCGGGAGGCTGAGGCAGGGAGTCGTAAGCTGCGGCCCAGCCCGGGAACTTAGTGTCGTGGGGAGAACCTGTCTCAAACATAAAAAGTGCTGAGGGTGTTACACAGGGTGCAGTTCCTAACACCGGAAATACCCCAACCGGCCCGAGGGACAAACCAGCCTCACTCGCGAGCTGCCCCCGAGAAACTGCAGCTCGAGAGGCGGCCAGGAGGAGGCAGAGCTGAGAAGCGTTGCGCACACGCGTGGCCTGCGGCTTGGAGAAGCGAAGGTGGACACCAGGACCGTGGACAGCCTTCAGCGGGCGTCAGGGAGGCGCCGATGAGAGCGACAGACCCCACCCCCACGCAGCCGGAAGAACGCGGACAGCAAAGAGAGGAGCTTTCAGGCGCGCCGCGGTGCGTGTGCATGGGTGCGTGTGCGCGGGTGTGCGCGTGTCACTGTGTGAGAACACACCGGCTGGCGGGGCCGCACAGAGCTCTGCCTGTTTACGCAGACGCTGTCACCCAGCGGCCAAGAGGAGCCAACCGCAGAAGCAACCGGACTAAAGGAGCGTGAAAGTGCTGAGCGGAGAGATCGCGCGGCCGGCGCCCTCGTGTGACACTGGCGGGCGGCGCGGGGCCGCGTGCCGCCTGCCTACGGGTGAGTGTGCGCAGAGAGGTCGGATAAGGGTACAGCCCTATGCTTGGGCAGGGGGTGCCGTGCTGGTGGGGCTCCGCCTCGTCCCCGGTCAGCTGGAGCCCGCTGACCGCACTCACGACCCCACACACCCGGCTGCCGCCCACCCGGCCCACTCCCTCGAGCCTCCTGAGCTGCCCCGCCTGAAGCCCGCCAAGGACCGCTCCAGCCGGCCTCCTCTCAGCACCAGGGTCTTCAGGTGTGCGCTGCCCTGAAGGCCACGGGCCACGAGGATCCAGTCTTGAGGGGGGACCTCGCGGGCCTCCAGCCTGGGGAGCGTACAGGACCCACACGTGTGCGCACACACGGACATGCACATCACGGACACGCACGCTGAGCCTGAGCGGGGGAAACGGCACCCCGGGGCCCACAGGGCCGTGAACGCTGCTCTGCACAGAGGCGGGACCTCGGGTGTCCGGACTCCCGGCCGCACCCCTCACAGCAGTTATCACAGGAGGCAGCCGTCCTGAGCGCCAGGTCGGACCCTGGAAGCAGTTCGGGACGAACAAGCCCGAACAAGCCCCTGGCGAGAGGCAGGAAGGGAGGCACAGCCACAGTGGGCCCGCAAGCCCGCAGCCGCCGCCGCCAAGCCTCGCAGGGGGCCGCCTGCACCGCAGAGCCGCACCCAGGCCGCCTCGCGCCCTGGCCGGGGGCGGCTTCTCCCCCACCGGCACTGCAGATCAGCTCCCCGCCCACTGGGTATAGGCCGCCAGCGAAGTCACAGGGCGAGGCGGCCAGGGCAGGCTGGTGGCCACCACCCTCTCACATGGAGTTTCCACTGTGTGGATCCAGAAGACATCAACAACCTCAGCCACAGACCGGCAGCACGCAAGAGTGAGTG